CCGTCTCCCCCGAGGCCTGCCTGGCCTTCGTCGCCCTGCCCCCCGCGTCGTACTCCTGGCCTGCGCCCGCCAGCACCTCTCCCAGCAGGCCCTCGGCCTCCCGGATCTCCACGTTGTCGTAGATGCCTGCTCCGAGCGCCGCCGCCTGCCTCGCCGAGGCCATGGAGAGCTTCGCCGTTTCCTTGCGCAGGTCCGCGACTCCTGCCGCGCCGCCTTTGCCACCCCCTCCAGGATTCCCTCCAACGGCCTTGCCCTTCGACTTCTTCTCCTCGGGTGTCGACGCCTCCTCCGATCCAGGGGGTCCCGTCGCGTCCGCGCCTCTTTTCAGACAGCTCGGCATCGCGATGTCGGCCATGGCGTTGCTGTCCAGGTTGGCGCGCTGTGACTGCCCAGGGAAGGTGGCTTGCGCCTAAGTGCCTCATGAAGTCGCCCCAGCCCGCCCCCTCAAACTCGCATAAGTTGCACGAGAACGAATCAGGAACTCGCAGTGCACGAAGAACTCTGCTGCCATGCCCCCCGCACCACCCTCTCTGCAAACTTCTCTCCAAATGCTTCGCTGCCGACCTCTGATCCGCGAAGATGGTGGCACACGCAATGCACTGCTTGGTTTTTGTCAGGATGTGACAGCGGTTCCGTGAGTCAAGTGCGCTCCTCCGGCGGTGTAGTAGCTGCCTACGCGTCGGGAACCTCTTCCTGCAGACACTGCCATCCTCGAACCGCACCCCGCACACGAAAATCGGATTCAAGGCGTCGTCCTCCTCCAGGTCGCTCCCGATGTTGTCCTCATCTCGTTTAGCCTGTGGATATCCCGCAGGAGGTGCAGAAGGGGGGAACGACAACTGCATGCTTGCTTGCTCGCGCCCGTGAGAAGTCCAGCTTCAGAAACTGCCTGGCCAGGTCTCGGTCTGCCCCCAACTTCCACGGCGCCCTTCCAAGCTCCTCCAGTACCTCCGCGTCGTCTTCCATGGCATTGGCAGCCAAGGAAAGATCTGTTCCAACTCGGATCGCCCACGGCGAGGCTGACTCCGAAAGCCCCTCCTCCGTGAACGGGGCCTCGGCGTTGATGCCGGGAAGATCCGCGAAAAATGTGGGCAGCAGCTGGGCATTGTGCCACGTCCTGGCTGCCCAACTCTGATACCACCGCAGTCTACGCACCAGCAGCTCCGTCTTCGTATCCGTCAGCCTCCAGTGCGCCAGCGCCTGCTCCGTCGCCATGCTCTTCACGATGCCGCCCCCCAGCCAGTTGGCGCCCCCCCCCCCCCATCACCGCAATACGCCCCGGCCTCGCCAAACACAAGTCGAGCCGTCGGTGCTGAGCATCGGAGAGGATGAAGCACTCCATTCCCGTCAGGATCGCGCCCATCACTGCCCCCTGGAATACTACTCGCTTCCAGCGCCATGGTGTAAATAAAATCCAGAAAGCGCCCATGGAGTAGAAGGCCGTCTTTGCCGCCTCACACCTCCTCGGGAACTCGAACTCTGCAGTGCGCCGAGGGGTGATGTGGGGTCCCAGGTATCGCGCCACGTCGTTGAGCTCGCCCTGAATGCCCCCCGCGCCCTTCCCCTTCTGCTTCAGCCACTTCTTGCAGTGCAGTCCATGGAGCCCGTGCCCTGGATCGGACGCCGGTGACCTGCTTCCCCCTGTTCTGCCGCATGCCGACCACCCCCAGCGCCACGTCCAGCTCGTCGTCCGCCTCTCTCCGCATGTCCATCATCCCCCCCATCGTCGTTCCTACCGCCAATAGGTGGTGCCTGCTTAGGTCATCCGCGTACTGATGGATTCCTAGATCGATGTCAGGCAGGTCCTCCCACCCGCAGACCAAGAGGTTCGCCGTTGGCTGTGTCTCCCTGAGCCGCGTCGCCCATCTTGCCGTCGGCTCCGCAATGGAGGTGGCGAAGGCGTCCACGCTGAAGGGGTCCCCCATCATCAAGCCATCGCCGATCTTAACCGTGTGCACCCCCTCTGGCGTCGGCAAGTCCACGACCATGTCCCTGTGCCTCTGCTTGCAGAGGTCCACGTCCTGCCACTTGTTTGTGTTCTCCCCTGGTGACTTGTCGAGCGCCAGCCAACTCACCGAGCCAAACGCGTTCTGGAGATCCTTCATCGTGACAGCGAAGCTCCTGCCTCCCCTTGCCAGTCGCCAGCTGAGTGCCTGAGATGCCATGATTGCCCCTTCGCGACGTCGTCCTCGCACGAAACCGTAGCTCTGTGGCAAAGGATTGGAAGTCAATCTTTTAGAATAGAAGGCCTTCCCAATGCTCGCCAAGCAGTGGATGAGCCCTCTCCCCGCCGCCGCCTTCTTCCCGTTCTGCTTGTCCAGGCCGACTGCCTTGCTTCGGTGCCAGCGCAGTGGGGCAAGGTTGGCCCTCCTCATCAATAGGATCCCATGAAAGAGCACGTTCCTGAAAAGCGTCAGGTCCCCTTTTCTGCTTCTCATATCCCAATCCCAGCTTTTGCCTGGTGGTCTCCTTCTCTGCGTTTAGGATCAAGTCCCAGAGCTCGAGGGGCGCCGTGCTGGGCGGGACCTCCTTCCTCTTCGGCGCCTTCCGCGCGTACCTGGCAATGTGTCCCACATCAATATTGGCCTGCTCCTCCATCTGCGCAGTAGCCTGCTGTGGCGGTGGTAGCCCAGCTCGTCGTTGTCGCCATTCCCCCCGGTCAAGGGCCACAGCCCCCGCGCCTCCTTCTCTCCCAGATCTGCTCCACTGCTGCATCCATTTGTCGCTCTCCAGAGGCAGTGGCCCGAACCGTCGCCCGTCTCTGCGTTTAGCTCCATATCGGCACCGCGCCGCCAGCCGTGAGTACTTCATGGCGTCCGCGAACTTTATTTTCTCCCAGCTCTCCTCGACCATGCTTACACACTCCTCCCTCATGGCCTCCTGCTCTGCTCGCCTCTGGTCTTTGAGCTTGGCCGAGAGCTCCTTCAATTTCCTCCCGATGTCCATCAAGCCAGCGTCGTCCGCATGCTGCCGTCTGTCGCGTAGCTCCGCACGTTGCCGAATTAGTTCGCGTTGTTCACGTGCTCTCTCTTGTCTGTCTCGGCGTTCCTTAGTGATCGAGAAATGCCTGTAGCCAACATTCGTCAACGTGCTCTCCAGCAGCTCAAAGTAATTGTCTGGGGCGCCCTCCTCTAAGAGTTGCCAAAATTTGTCCTCCCGTGCTGCCGGCTCCTCGGCTATCTCCGCGAGGAACTCGGACTTCTCCACTCCGTGTGCGATAGCGTTCATCATCGCTGTCCTGTCGCATCTCCTTCTGTCTTGGGGGGCGTTCTGTTCGCTCATGCGCTTCTGGTACATGGTCTCCATCAGTATTGGCAAGTGGTCCTTCGGCGGAATGCCCTTGACGGCCTGTACGCGTCTTCCCATATCTGTCAGCACATGTACCTTGTCCACTCTCTCCAAGTACCCCTGCTGCACATAGAAGTAGTCGATCGTACTGCACCCTCCTTGCCGTCCGTCTGACCCACTCGCATAATATGTAGGTTCCTTATGTTGTCCGAAGGAAGAGGGCACCGCAATGTACTGCTCATCCAGCACCTGCCTGATCAGTTCACCCGCACCTCCCCTGCGCCGCTCTCGGGTCACTATTCCCCCCAATCCATCTGAATGCATGCGTTGCCAAGCGCCATCTACCTTGGAAAGCCCGATCCCGTCGTTGCTGTCCGCAACGAAACATGGCAGTGTTCGTTGCGGTAGCTCCTGGAGTATCTGTCTCCACCATTGCGTGAGCACCCTCACACACTTCTTGTAAGCCCCAGTCTTCTCCTTGTTCGCCGGCTGCACTGGAAAAGGAGAGCGTTCCATAGACCACATCCATGCAGCCCTTCTTCACCCTGATCGTCAACGCATGTCCCTCAGCTCCTTTCGGCGATGTCCCTGTCCGTCGTATGTGTCTAACCTGTATTCCTCTGCCGAGCAGAATGCCGTATCCTGCATGTCGATTTGTGAACGGTCCTGGCTGGAAACCCGCCTCCACCAGAAGTCTGCCTTCCACTCTTTGTCTGAGAATACCACTGCCACTCCTATACGCGGCCTTCGTGCCCACCAGGATCAGCGCGTCAGTGTCTGGAGCTGCAAGGGCGAGTTCCGACATACGTGTCGCCGTGGACGCGAAGAGCGGGTTGAAGCCAATCAGCCGCAGGAGGTGAGACGGCGCCATGCCTCTCGCCACGCCCGTATCGCCCGCCTTCAGCGTGGACCCGCAACGCACATGGCCTTCTCCTGCAGCAGTCCCCGCCCCCGTGCCATTCCTGAAAGTCTCGAGCGCGCGGAGGCTATCATCATCATCATCACCACCATCATCATCATCATCATCATCATCATCAGCAGCAGCAGCAGCAGCAGCATCATCGGCAGCAGCATCAGCATTAGCATCAACATCAGCATCAGCATCAACATCATCATCATCATCATCATCATCATCATCATCATCATCATCATCATCATCATCATCATTACCACTACTACCACCACTATAACAATCTTCCTGCTCCTCCATCATCATCATCAGGAGCTCGGGACAATGGCGCTCGGGGACCGGACCGTGGACACGGTGTGGCGCCGAAGCGTGGTGCAAGAGAACTGGCGGCGTGACGCGCTAAGCCAAAATTGAAGATCCTTCACGTATGTAATGTATATGTGCTACGGTATGTGGGCCCTTCGCCCGAACAGTCGTATACTTTTGTTGTTAGACCTCTGACGCTCGCGAGCCTACCGTTCGTAATGTCCAATACACTGTGCGCAGCGAAGGTTGCGACCATATGTTCATGGTCATGCCAGTGCCCCCGAGGGAAACATCGAGCTGGAATCGGCGATACGTCGAGGATAGATCGTCGATGGGCCCCCGATAGCGAATCCGCGCGCTCCTGGGCGGGGTGCCAGGTCGGGCCCCACATCGGCGATGAATCGGCCATGGGGGGTCGGTGCGCTCCCCCCGTGAGCCTGCTCCCCCCTGACGTTGCCCCTGGACTTGTGGCCAAAAGGTTCCCGGCACCACCGAGACCGGCCGACCCGACGCCGCGCGGAACGCGCAGCGCACAGTTAAAAAGTTAGGGGCCTGCATAGGCTCGCTGTCTGCCGGGGGTGAGGTGGGGATGGCGGTGGAGGGGACACGCCCCATTCGGGCGCACGCTGACAAGGAGTAGGGATCCGTGGGTCTGGCGCGGGTGCGACAGGTCCGCGGCGCGGGGAACGTAACCCCCGATACATGGCGACATGATGCCCCATTCGGAGACGGACCGCGCAGACTCTGCACGGAAGCGGGACAAGTCGCTAGTCCACCCGCCTTGAACCATGTCTTTGTTTCCTGGACCCTTGGACCCAAGTGATCGGTTCACTTCCCGATCCACCCGATTCGGAACACCCCTCTCTCCCCTTGTTCCCGCGTCCGTTCGCAGCTGGCTTACCCATCCATCATCTCAAGTCACTGGACTGGCTCGGTTACTGCTACGGAAGAATTTCGCTTGCCATGTTCGGAAAGAAGGGGAACTCGAGAGAACCGCAACACGGCGCATACAGAAGCAGAAATAAATGGGTGAGATTGACAGGTGTTGACGGAAAGAGGGGGGGGCACCCAAGCTTGGCCACTGGGGAACTGTCCAGCGCTCCCTTGAATTTGACATGCCGACAAGCACGTCTAGCTGAAGCGCCTCGTGCCTCCAACGCCGAGCGCACGACTGCCCCGCCAAGCGGTGAGGGCGCACCATGGAAGAACATGGAAAGGAACAAAGAACTGGGAACTGGGAACCGGAAACCACCAACCAGGGACCAAGAACTGGGAATCAGGAATCGGGAGCTGGGAACCGGGAGCAAGGAACCAAGAATCGGGAACCGATAACCGGACGCAGGAACTGGGCCAGGAAACGGGCACAGAGCACCAAGAACTAGGAACCGATGCTGATGCTGATGCTGACCATGCTGACCATGATGATGCTGATGATGATGATGATGATGATGATGATGATGATGATGGTGATGGTGATGGTGATGGTGATGATGATGATACTGGTACAGATGACGATAACGGGGATGATAATGATTAGGATGATGGCGATGATAACAATAGTGACGGTGATGATGACGACAATGACGATGATGATGACGACAACGATGTCGATGAATATGATGGTCATGATGACGATGATGCTAATGCTGACTCTGCTGAGGATGATTGAAAATAAACAACATTCTCACGACGTTCGGTGACGGTCGGTAACGAACGGAGCATTCGTCAAATCTGAACGGTCGGACGTCGAATCTGAACTTTCGGAAAATCCTTTACGGCAAAACCGACGTTAACGCCGCTACCGGAAAATTCCGCTGTTGACCATTACTAGATTCTCGACGAGATCGGTCGCGACCAGTCTTTGTGTGTGTCATGACCCAAAATTTCGGGTAATGCATGACCTGGGCGGGGGCCTTTCGGAAACACTTCGGGAATCTCTGGGGGCCTCTTAGGCCTCTTGGGCCGTCTTGGGGCCCTGGGCCATCTAGAGGGCCTCCTATTGCCCTCTTCGGGCTCCCTTGGAACCCTTCTGGGACTCTCTTGGGTAGTCTTGGGGCTCTCTTGGGCCGTCGTGGAGCCCTGTTGGGCCGTCTCGGGGCCATCTTCGGGGCCGCTTGGGTCGTCTTGACGCAATCTTGGGGGCTTCGTGGGTCGCCCTGGACGCTGTGCGCACCGAAGAAGCGAATGTGTTGAACCTGTAAGTGTCCCGACGTGAGTTTGACGATTTGTGCCGCTTGGGGCATTCTGGGGGGCCTCATGGGCCGTCTTGAAGGTTCTCTGTTGCCGTCTAGAGCCCGTCTTGGACCCTTTCGGAGCGCTCTTGTAAAGAGCCGGACTCTATACACCGACGATTTTTATGGCCCCGCACCGAAACTCGCACAGGAAAACTGCGGTTTTGGTGTATACATGTTTCGCTCTTGCCACGGGGAAACGGGGAAACAAGTATACACCACACCACCCCGACGTCGCCCCCGACCCTCAAAAATTCCTGGCATTGCAAAACAGCTCGCCACGTTAATGTATACGCTCCAGTTTCCGATCTTGGGCCATTTTGATAATGCCTTGAACCTTGGGAGCCTCTTGGGCTCGCTGTGGCCCTCGCTGGCCACTTTGCGCGGCGTTTTTTCGGCTGTCCTGAAGCTCCTCTGGCAGGTGCCCCGCGGCTGGGGAACACCGTCAGAAAGGTAACTCGGGGGTGGGGGGGGACGGCGATTCGGGGAAATTCTCCCATGCAGGATGTATACATGAATGTGTGTATATATGTATTCATGTGTATATATATATATAGGTCAAGTATGGACTCTATATAGACGTGCAGCGGATACATGTACAACAAAAGAGAGAGAGAGAGAAGGAGAGAGAGAGAGAGAGAGAAAGAAGGAAACATAGAGAAAGATAAATAGAGAGAGAGAGAGAGAGAAATAAACACAAAGAAATCAACACCAGCATAACAATAAGATGGAAAACAGAGCAGAGAGGAGATGAACAAAATATGAAAGCTGGATAGAGCGAGAGACCGCGAACCGAGAACCCAGAATCAAGAACCGCTGGAACCGCGGGAACCCTGGAACCGAAACCCGGAACTGGGAAACGGGAACTGTAAACTGGCAATGAGAACCAAAAACCGAGAACCGGAAACTTGGAACCAAAAACCGGCAACCAGGAACTGGAAACCCAGAACGGGGAACTGGGAACAGCGAGCCTGGAACCGGGAACTGGGAACTGGGAACAGAGAACAAAGCACGGGGAACCGGGAACCAGGAGCTCGTCGACTAGCAGACCTTGTTACTTTGAGGGAGAGGATGGGCAGCAACGATGATTAGATTGTACTGCAGCTCAGCCATGCACTGAAAGACCAGCGCAATCGACATGTCTTTGGCTCAGGTGATGCGCCACTGGGAAAACTGTTGTCGGATTCTCACATGCAATTCAACACGATGTCCTCTGGGATGCAGATCCTTCCCTGGATTACCCTCCGAACACGGAGACGAACAGAAACGCTTGCAACAGGAACAATTAAGCAATAATCGCGTGTGATTGCATCCCACTGCTCGCATATCCTTTGCCAATCGCTCGCCTGACATTTTCTCGCGGCCTCGCCGCGGACCATGTGATTGCTTCAGTATGTGTCTTCCAGGGCAGTAGCAACACACGGAGGGACTCCGCTGCTAAGCAACTTATGGCTGATCGTTCCGTCCCTCTCTCTTTCTCTCTCGCTCGTTGTCACTCTCTCTCTCTCTCTCGTTCACCTTCTCACTCTGTCTCTATCTCTGTTTATTTCTCTCTCTCTCTCTATGTCTCTATCTTTCTTACCTATCTCTGTCTATATATATAGACATATATATATATATGTATATGTTAGGTGCAAGTTTAGCTTGGGAACTAAAGAGCATGTTACATCGCCACTCCCCAAACCTCTCCAGGGGCTGATTACAACAAGGACTTCGAAACGAATCCAGAGGTGGCGACAAGGGCCTCACAGGAGGCCGTCAGGGGGGAAATCGAGGGAAGGGTGGCAGGATGGGAACCCTGTCTTCCTTTAAGCTTACGTGAGCCTCCCATGGCTGGTTGTATTGGATGCGCTGATCCCGACGGCACGGTCACAAGCTGTTCCAAAGTGCTAATCACCTTGAACGCGGTGGCGCTGCAAGACCAAGCCCCGACCAACGAAATCAAAAACATGCGGGGGGGTGTCCCTTCACCCGCTCTCCACTCGACGTCCGACTGCATACTTGGAGCCCCCCAGACCTGAGCGACGAAACGGAACGGGCGTTCCAAAACTAAGCGGGTGTCGCAAACAGAAAAGGCGCTACGCCGCGGCTTGCGCGGGACGCCAACGTGGCACACGGCAAAGAGAAGAAGGCGTTCACGTGTCGCCCTGCAACAGAAATCACGCGCGAGAGGCCGCGCCACCGGCCCCCCGTTTTCTCGCGCCGCCCGCCTGGAAATCGTGGCGCCTGCCCGTGTCCTGCGCGCCGTTCTGCAAGTCGCTGGCGCGAGCAACGGGAAGCCTGAAGTACTGCGCCGGGCGACGGAGGGCAGGAGTCGAGCGAGCTGCAACCTCGGAGCTCCACCCATCATGCCTTTGCATGGCTGCTTCCTGGTTGCTGCATTATCAGCAGCGCTGGCACTCTATGATGTGGCATTCTTGACCCAACCCGATGTCCGTAATTCTCGACGCTTTCCGGCTTAGAAGCCCACAGCCCGGACTCTGGGGCTTTTCTTGGGCTCGGCGCGCGCGATCGCGTTGCTTTTCGAAGTCAGGAAAGCCCGAACATGGCAAAATCCAGGAAGGGAGATGGTAAGCCGCGCCATACGCGTCCCCTTAAATGTACCATTGTACCCCATGACTTGCCCACGCAGTTGGGGCGAGCAACTAAATAAATATGAGTCAAGGGTGCACCGCCGAAGGGAATTGGATGTCTCCACCTTTCCCATTACTCGGCTGCGGTAGTGCCCCCGCGCATGGGACAGTCATATGGAGAGCGACGTCGCTTGAGCCCAAGCGGCGTCGGGACGCGGGCGCGTGACTCCTGTCTCGCCTTACGCTTCCGTTCGAAGTCAGGACCTGGAGGTCGGGCGACGTGCCGCGTCAAGCTACATTAAGTTCGACCTGTAGTCGCAGCGATCGGCAAACAACCATGCAGCGGGCAACCTTGTTGCAACGGCTAAAAAAGGCTGCCAACCTCTAAGTACTGCTGCTGGAAAAAAACGCCAACCGCGGAAAACGTCACACTCGACTGGCGCAGCTGTCTTCTCAGAAGGGGGCACCCACCGCTCCAACCGAAAAATGGGTCCGACCGAAGAGATTGTCGGACCCCGAACGACGCCATTCGAAATAGCTGAAACGGGGGACCGGGCATCGGCCGGCCGGCTTCCCGCGACCGGGCGGACGCACGCATGCGCCTGTTCTCGCGTTCGTGCCTGAACCGCCGACCCGACGAAGGCCTGGCTCAGACGCCCTCGTCCGCTCTGTAAAACACTCACCGTTTTACCTGATGCTCGACTGACTGAATGCCTGCCACCACTTGTACAGAGTAGGCCACGGTCGAAAAAGCTTGTGGTGTGTCCGTTAGACGTCATGTCACGCGCATCACACCACTGGTCACTGTACGAGCCCCATACATCACTTGCGGAATTTAAATGAGGTGGCCCAGTAGAATGCACTTAGTGCGCTTCTGGAGGTCCCTACTGGAAAACAACTTGCAGATTGACTCGGCGCCGATGGTGAGCGCCACCTGAATGCCTCGACCACCCAAATCTAAACTGTTCTTGACTTGTGCCACGGAAAAGCGGGTCAGCCTTGAGCTTCTGTAGCGCAGCGATGGTAGGGCTTTCTAGCCTCTGGCCACAGCTAGCGCTTCAGCAGCCGATGTCATTACAACGCGCATGTATCAGATGCGCAGCAGCCTTCCCGCACGGCATGCGCGCCTGAAATTATAGGTTGGAACATCGGATGCATAGGTTGGAACATCGGATGCCGCGCCCATTAACTTCGTCGTGGGCCACGCCGCTCTGGGGGCGATCGCCTGAGTCTTTATGTCGGAGCACTCCTCCCGTCGGAATCATCATCTGCTACGTAGCGATGGTTGGCCCCTGGTGTAGTTGGCGCGTTGCCGCGTCGAGTGGGCGCGCGTGCACTTGGCCGGTCATTGGGCGCGTTGCAGAGACCGCGTGCGCAGTAAACCGTACTTGCGCAAGTAAGGCGCATGCGAACGCACAATGTAAGCTCATGAACGTCGATAGCGTACTTCTCGTCGCCTGTTCTGCTGCCGCGTCTCGAGTGCAACCTGGGTGTTAAATGCGGCGAAGTCGTCTGATGAATGCATCTTGATCAAGTTGAGCGTGGCCGCCCTGTCAAAGCGCAACGTGCGGCGCAATATGTGTAACTTTGTTGGTTGAGCTTCCGCGTGACGAGAGCGCCCCCTGCACGCACTTGACATCTGCGTTGATAGTGTGCTCGGCTCCTGCCATTCTGATGCCGTCCACGCGTCTCGCACCTGTCCATCCTGAGCGCGGCCACCCAGCGGTGGCGCGTCCGCCAAAGCCTTGAATTAAGACAAACATCCGTCGGATCCTGACAATGGTTTGGTGGCCTCGCGGCATTAAATGAGTCGTGCGTGGGTTGACCCTGCGATGTCACGTATACTTCATGCTGCGCGGTGGGATCCCGGAAAACACTCCGCTATCGCGATATACGCACGCGCAACTATCGGCACGCGGTGCCGCGGGTGACCCATGCACCGCTGGCCAAGCGCACGGCCGCTACGGTCTCGATCCGGACGCAACTCGAAATCAGAAACTGCATGGCCACATGCATCTCCGGAGAGCGCCCAGTCGCCGCGGTCAGCCGCAGGTGCCCCTGCGCGGAGGGCAGATAGCCGAACGCCATGGCAAGTTTCCCCGCAAACAAGGTCGCAACGAAGGCCGACATTGTCCTCGTGGCCGCCGCGTCGGAACAAACTTCGCGGACTCTGAGCCACTCTGCGTACATGGATATTGTGCCAAATTCTCTCGGTAAACGATGTTACCTGCGGCCTGACCACGGTCTAGGCAAGTTCGCATGGCGGGGCGTGGTTCAGCCCAGCCGCAGCAGTGTCTGGTGGTGGTTGGCTGATAGCATGCCCACAAGACCTCCTGATTTCCAGCTGTACTGCCCAACTTGCTATGTATTGGTGCGTGGCGCCCGGTTGGCCTTCGCTGCTGCTGTGGCTTGTGTGATCGTTTCGGTACTTACCTCCGTGATCTTGTGTTTCTGGCAATGGTCAGACGTTTCCGTCCACGGTTCGTGACCCATGACCGGTAGACCCGGAAGACAACTCCGTTGGCGGCCGTGGAGGGCTTGATATGGCGGCGCGCCATTATAGAACGCCCTCGTGCTATCTTAAGTGACACCAATCGAATATTTGGTCATGTGAGCTTCTCGTGTCGTTGGACGCCACATCGCCCGTGAGCGGGGGCGGCATGTTGACTCCGGTAGCGGGCGCGCAGTTCCGCGTCGATGGCTCTGAAAATGGCTGTTGCGGTCTCGTTGTTTAGGGCGCCTTCACCGACGAAGTGTAATGTCTGTCCTGGTGCATGTTGCATCCACCTCTGGCGATCGGCGCCCAAGATGGCGCGCGTCGCCTTATCGGCTCCCTGCATGCCTGCAGCCAACCGGATACATCGGTATATGATGTGGCACGCGATGTACTGCTTTCAAACAATCAAGTCGCACTCTACTTCCTCGTGGAAGCTATCTGCTAGAAGGCACGACCGCATTGCCAGCAGGCAGGGCGCTCACGACAAGAGTCGCAGACACCTTTGACCGTGTTCAACGCTACGGCATCAAAACCTACATTCGGCAGCAGCAAGTGCATCCTCGGCCCCGAGGCACGGAGTTTCTTCAAGACTAGCGCTGGGTTGTAGCTAGGCAGGTTGTGAAGAAGAAGTATGGCGCGTGGCCGATCTCCAGCCTCGGGCCGAGGCGGTGGCAGATCTGCGCCATTCTGCCCGCGCCCACGTCGTCCCACCACTCGCGGCGGATCAGCTGACCTTTCAGCGCCACTTCCCCGTGCCTCGCCACTGCGTGCTCCATGTGTTCCTCGGGTCCTGGAATGCTGCCGGCGCTGGCTGCAGGACCAACGCCGTCAGGATTCTTCCGCGTAGAAGGGGGTGCGCGTGGCCAAGCGCTCGGTTGCGTCTGATCTTCTGCCAGCGCAACTGGCGCGGGTGCCGCTGGTGGAGCCTGGCCATTATCGCCGAGGTCATTGCCAGGACCCGGTAGATCGGAAATTGCCCAGTATCGGCAGGTGGCCCTGCGCGTTGCTCCCGTAGCTTTTTTTT